AAAGTCTCTCGTCGACACGGCTAGAAGTAAGGTTTCTCTTTCTCTCTGTTTGCAGATAGGTGAAGAAACCGATCGTTTTAAGAGGTGGATGCACACTCGTGAGCACACCACCGAAGGAANNCCTGAACCACAAAATGGACGACACCAATGGTTCCAAGGTTTATGGACTTAGTTTTCCTACCAGAAAAAGCACAGCGAAACAGAAATGCAGTGTGCAGTCTGTGTTTAATGTAGAGTCAGACGAAGAAACAGAAGTTCTAAAATTGGTATGTTTATTCTCACTATCATTGCTTGTTGTATAGAAACCTCTCCCAAATACTCAAAATGCGGAGGCATATCGAGCGAAAATTCATCAAAAGGTAAAGATAGTTTTTGTTTTATTTTCCTCAGACAAAGTCGGATTTCGAAAAAGCTTTAGAAGAAGATCCATCTGTTTTCCAGTATGATGAGATATATGAGAACATAAGTAGTGAGAAATATCGATCGTCACGGAGCACTGTTTCAGCACCGAAGCAGGTAAAGTGAATCGCTTTTGGTCATTTTAAAAGTCAAAATATGTTGGTAAACTCATTAAAACCGCCAATGAACGCAAACTTGAACGCGAACTGTGCGCTGAGCGCAAAGCACAAAAAGAAATAGAGGCGGAACAAGATCAATACAAAGATAAGGAGTCATTCGTTACGTCCGCTTATAAGGTAATATTTTATCTAATGTTCGACATATTATTATCACAGAAAAAACTTAGTGAAATGCGTGAGCTCGTCGCAAGGCGCGAAGAGGAGCATCAACGGGAGAAAATTATGGACATAACCGGTCAGGATGGCCTAGGTGGCTTCTACCGCTACATGTATGACCATGAAATGGAAAAGGGTAACTCAAGTCTCCAGGTAAGTAAGTATCAACATGTTATTCTTTCGTATCACTGAAAAAGCCTTAGATTATATGGAACCATCGATGAAATACCATTAGTTTGATCACGTAGTTAGCTGCACTAGTGCTCTATGTAGTCAGATTTTGTTTTAGTAGTCCAGTCGATGTTCACATGCAGCGTGACAAGAGTGGGGAAACTCCCTTCGTGTCCTGCTGCTTTTGCNGGGCTTGAATGCATTATCTTACTTCTGCTTCTGTGGGGAGTTCATATGACACTGCTCACGGAGCATCAGATACCAATTGGCGGTGTACTTTAACGTACGGTTCAGCTGTCCTGGCACTAGCCAGATTATTTCATCTGCAACTGAAGCTTCTTGGGCATTGACATGCTATCATCGGAAGCGGAAGTTCGGTCTTGCATGCAAGCTCTGACGCGAGGAAAGGGAGGGGACCGGATGGCCTTCCCACTCATTTCAAAATGGGGGGAGGGGGAGTTGATAACCCTGTAAGCGCTGTTACTTACTTATTGGACACGCAATATTTTTCGGGGAAGAGAACATAACTTTGACTAACCCAGCAATCATCTAAGTTCGACTTTAACTAATGTAGCAGGAAGTCGAGATGATGGCATTACTGTCGATGGGGATAACTGCCTTGTTGCATCTAACACACTCACATATCGATGTTTGACGGTTTTGTCCCCTGATTAGCTTTTTGTTTCTTTCACGCGGTAAAGATGTCGCTTCAACGGTCAGTAAACAGATGTAATGTTGGTCTGAATTTTAAACAAAAATAATTTCAGTGGCGATTTCTTGCAGTAGTTGTACAAACTTGTCTAATATACCGCCTTATTCTTTCTCCAAACGCTATCAGTGCTCGTCTAATGAAGACCCCAAATCGAAAGAACCGCGATCACCCCGTAGAGACACACAAAAAGAAGTCGACGATCAAAAGGTTTGCAAAGAAGATAGGAAGTTTTCTCCTCAAACAGATTATCGTTCCGTTAAAGAGAAATCGCAAAACTCAAGTACTCTGAGCAAAACACCGGGCTCCTCCAGCAGGGCTTCAGATTCGGGTAACGAGAGTCATTCTCTCGACGAAGAGACAGCTGAAAACGAAAGCAAAACCAAATTACATCTTGTGAAAGACTCGATACAACAACTTCCGAATGATTCCTCTCCAAAGCCACTATCACCTAAACGCGTGAATGACGAACCGCATCTTGACAGATCGAGGTAAGCGTTGTGCAGTGTTCGTTAACGGACGGTTTCGTCTAAGAAACTCTATATCTAAGTGCTGATTTAATGAATGTGAAAAACTGGATGATTGTTGCCCGGCGGTTTAACTCGCTACTGCCAATTTTGCCTTGAGGCTTAGGGTTCGAAGTAGGAATGCTGTTACCATCCAGCTTTGGTAATTGGCAGCTTCGCTGCCGTCCAGCTCTATACCACGCCTATGCCAATGGCCCCATATGTATATATTTCAGTTTCAGTTTTTACAACCATTAACCATGCACTTTCGTGCGCCGGTTTTGGTTGCTGTCTTTGGTTGCCCATTTGG